CTATTCAAGGTTAATTATACAGGCACAGAATATGTACAAGTATCCACGCACACTTGTTCAACGCGTCTGTAAATTACAACGAACAGCTTTCGAACAATAATTCTATAAAATATCCTTATTTATTCAACGTATAAATATATATTTCTCATTTTGCGTGTTTCGTTCTCTGACACATTTCCAGCTATTAACGATCGCTACCGATCAAACGCGTTTCTTCTTTTCGTATTTTTTCAAGTGATAAAAATTTCTAATTAGCTATCAATTAAGTTTTGCTTCCTTGACATCAACACTGATACAAATCGTGCAAATTTAAACGAATAATTTTAATTTAACGCTAGAAATTAAAATTTTTGTAGACGATTTTTGCAAAAAATGAATTTAAATAACTTCAATTTGAATATCTGTAAAGTGAACTCGGACTCGAAAGTAAACTCGAACGCGAACGATTTTAATATCTTGAAATAAATCTTGCTCGAGTGCTAACAATGATAAAAATGTGCTTCGTATCGAAGAAAACACTTTCACGTTTAATAACAATTCGTCGTTTCGTAAAATTTCACAGAAGAATTCAATTATTTACCACTCGAAGCTGCTATATACTGTAGAACTTTATTCCAACAATTATTTATTCAACACTCGCGTCGTTCGTTAATTTGAACGAGGCGAAGTTTTTATTGGACGTACTTTTAATCGAGTTGCAGAACTTCAAAACGTACAAACTCCTCAAGAATATGAGCGGTGAAAAAGATAAAGAATATAGTTGAAAAGTTCTATTCCCTCCATATCCTTGATCTTGCATTAAACAAGATACTTCAGATATTCATTTTTGTAACTGCAGAAAAACTTGATAAAATTCACTTTTGTTCTCTGTGATAAGAAGTGAAATAAACGCAGAGTCCTGTTGGTAGTTCGATATTAATTCAAAAAATTTGCAGTTAACGACAATGCTCTGTTTCATACGCGATATAAATATGCTACTAAAAAGTATATTTAAAAATTCTAAAAATACTCGATAGTTATATATATTGCTTCTTCTTTCGAACAGATAACTTCTTCAACCCTTGGTGTTCTCTTATCGTGTTATCGTACTTCGTATAATTATTTTCTCACACTTTCGAACGACATTAAAAGACCAATTATCTTCCGTATAAAAACCACAAGAAAAATGTGTTCCTCAAAAATTTGTCATATCAAGCTCCCCCCGAAGAAAAATTCTCCGCAGCAATTTAAACGATACGAGTATAATCTGAAACGTTAATAACTGATTGTCAAAGCCTCTACTTCTCACGGAACTATCAAAAACTGTTCGAATCCGTACAACTCCTCATTGCCAAAAAACAATTCCATCGACGTTTCAAACGATAAAATCAAGACAGTCTTTTTTCATTCCTTCCTTTCTTCTTCGTCCCTTTTTTTTTTTTCACTCGTACATGTATTACGCTGTAACGAACATAACATTCATCAAGTAGATACGCAGAAGAAGCTTACACGGTAATATTTCAATGCGATTGCTCTTATCACTATTCGTAAAGTAACTGTTTTTTTTTTTTTTTTTCGTCGCGTGAAACTCACTCTCCCGCTGACGATCGCGTTAAACAATAAGAAGAAGAAGAACAACGAAACTCGGAACTTTTAATTTAAGCAGATCTAAAACTTCGAATTTCGAAAATAAAACACACTCTCACCGTTTCTCTCATTCACACCGAACACATGCTGATCAGTTGCACACGACTGAATTATAAAGGCAAACCAGATAACCAATCGTTTCGACATTTCGACGAAGCTCACAAATTGTTCAATTAGTGCTCGGCGGTTACCACGCGTAAATCACACCCCTGGAACGTTATTAAGATGATACTTAACGCTTAGAAGCTGAAGACGTACCGACGTTCAAGTACATTCGCAAGTTCATCAATTTGCGTTACGTTCTTGTCGATCAGTGGGTAATTTTAGCACAGCGAAGGGTTCGTTGCAAAGTTAGCCAGCGATGCGAAGCGTTGATTAACTTGGAAAGGTGATTTGGCATCGATATTATGTCTTCGAGCCTTGGGAAATTTCATTGAAATTGTTCACAGCTAGCAATGTTGCAAAGTGGAAAGAAAATAATCGAGCTAACTTCTTCGCTGTTTCTTATTTTCATTTTATTTAAAAAGGAGTGGAAATTTTTTTAATAACTGTTGAAAATGATCCTCGAAACACCTTCAGGAAATGATTTCTTACAACTGTTAACCCCTTGCCTTACGATCTTTTTAACGACCGAGCATAAAAGCGTCAGTTATATTTTAATACTTATTCACATTTGGAAATTCTCAGATTTATAAGTAAAAAATAGAACTGGAATTAATATTAGTCTTTCTTGCTTTTGTTGTATTTTGATCGTAATCTGTGACACGAGGTCTGACTTGTAAGGCAAGGGGTTAACAATTATACTAAAATCTTCACTGTTTCTGAAAACGATCGCAACGAAATAATCTCCTTCGTCCATGAACTGACAATCAAAAATGATCAACGTAGCAGGATGGACGAGAAACCTCGAACAAAATTGGAAATAACGTTCCAGGGAAAAACCACATACCACGTCAGCACTCATAGGAATATATCAACTATGCGAGCTTCCATAGATCCAAGCTGTGTAACACCATCCTTAAATTCGAACAACAACAATCGATCGCCTTCATCATCCTTTCTCCATCCAAGCCTGGAACTTAACGGATATTCAAAGTAACAGAATAAAATACAAAGGATAAGAAAATTCTTCGTGCAGAATTCCCTGTGGGCGCAGAGTAGCGCCAGTTGCAAGATCTACGGAGGAGGAATAAGGTAAAACGGTCACGTCTCAACGAAAACGCCTCAAGGCTTCCTCTCGTTTGCGGTCTCCTCGAGGTCTGGATCCTCGTTGATGATGGAAATGTCTCGGATCGAGGGTCTACGCGTTTTCCAGCCTTCGGGCGGCGCCACCGGAGCAGTGGTCTTCGTCAGAAGTTTCGGTCCCGACAGAGAAATTAGGATGGCACCTGTCGGTGCTGTGAGCATAATCGACAGCACGCACATAGTCACCATCGTCTCAGCGTAATACACCTCTTCAGGATCGTTCGGATTCACTTTGTCGAGGGTGGTGGTTGCCAGAGCAGCTTGAACGGTTGCCTTCGCCATCCAGGACAACGCGATGAACACTTTCTCCTTGAGATTCAGCTTCGAGCCGACTCCAACGAGAACGGTGGCCATGATGCGGATCACGATACCGGCCAGAAGGCAACCTATACCGAGATAGACCGTTTTGCCCTCGAGCTCGTCGATTTTGATTTGAGTACCCGTCACGGCGAACAGGATCGGCTCGAAGATCATCCAGAAGATTTCGAACGCCGTGGCCACTGGATTCTGAGGGCAGAAGCGGTTGTAGAGATTAGCAGCGTATATTTGTGGATTCCAGATGATAAGAATTGAGAAATGGTTACAAGGAAGTTTTGAAGGAATACTTAGGTTTCATTTGTCGCGAGGAATAAATATGACACTGTGTGAAGATCTTCTTTATCAGGTGGAATGAATTAGTTTCACTGGTTTCTTTCACATTTCATATCCGACATTTTTCAATAAATTTTGTAGGAAGAAAAAATCGAGGGGGACCCAACGAGAATCGAACCCACGACCTCTGGTCTGTCAGACCGAAACATTACCCACTACGCCAATAGAGCATTTCTGTTTTTTCTCGTTGGTGTTCCTATTAGCGATTCGAGAATAGAAATCCTACAAAAATTTTTTAAATTTTCCAAAAAATTCTCACGAGCTCAATTTCATTGACTTCACGTTTATATTCGTAAGTCGTGTGAAATATATTTGTGCAAGGTCTGGTATTAAATATCGAACTAATATCAGGCGAAAAGTTTTGCTGTCATCAATCATTCGAAACCATTCCGCTTAGGGTCAGCGGAAAAACCTTTTGACAAAATAATCCAGATACACCGAAACGGTAGTTGGCTTCGAGTTTGTCGAGAACTCGCGATCCACGCTGTTCGAGTTTTCGTTATTCGATCGACGACACTTTCCTGCCATTTGTTTTCAAGCAAATACGCTACATGAACAGCTCGCCAGGGACTAATCCTCTTATGCCATAGTATTGCTACGTAACGGTGACACGGTCTAAGCGTTCGACTATCGTATCGTGAAAAATGGGGGAGGCAAAAGTTCGTATGGAATGTCAAAAGCTTATAGGAATATCCTTTTACAGAATTGCGTTCAATATCCTTCTTCTACCCTTATCCACCGTCCATAAAATTTTTTCAACGAATCATTTTTATATCAAAGTGACAATCTGAAAAGAAAAATCGAAATTGGAGGAAATTTTTCGAACGTCTCCCGAAAAGAGTGCGAACGATTCTTTCGAAAGATTCTTCGCTTTTCAAAATTACATTTTTTTATACCGATAAGAGATATTCTATAACGATAATCACCGATTTCGATGAAACTTTAGTATATGGTAGTTCTTAAAAAAATATTCGACACGTATTTTTTTGTATTGGCCATTATTAATACTGAAGGGGTGAAAATCGTCTTCAATGTTAGGGGTAGTAAATATATCTCACCTAATATCTCGAAAACTATTAGAGATATTTTTTAATAACAAATTTGAAAAAGGTCCATTTATTTAAATAACGAATGAAAAATTATTACTTTTTCAACGAATTCAATCTCTAACGATAAACTCAGAAATTCGTCTTGTCGATCTACTCGAAATACTTTTCCAAGTGTCATCAACCAGCACAGAGTATCATAATCATACACGCTTTACCGTGCCTCGAATATTGTTAACAAGAGTCTAGAATTTTCACGGCAAAGTGAAAAGGACGACAAGTGCATATTGTTGGAGAAAGGCGATCTCGTTGATAATTAAAGTTTCACGTTACAGACATTTTCTCCAAGGAATCTGTGATTAAAATAGTCTTCGAATCCGTCATGAATCACGCTTCCCACGATGTCGCGGCGACACAATTACCTCACTCAGGGTGGCGTCGTTATTCTTCCATCCCCTGCCGCGAGAGATCGTCAATATCATTAATATTTCGCCTTGGATATTGCGCCACTTAATAACCTCGACTTAACGGCCTCACTCTTTCTCGTTGTAAATCAACACCATTAATGCCGTAAGCAACGCTATGTCGCCCTTTATCGTCTCGCTTCGAGTCATTAGAACAAGTAAATAATTCCTCCGCGCGTTGGATATCTTCGAGGAAAAATATATTTGCACGTGGTCTTATAAATTCTTTTAATCTTTTGATTTTCTTCGGCGTTGGTATGCAAGGTAGGTGATAATTTACTTATTTTAATTAATTTTTAAACGATACGAAATTTTACAACAACGTCTTTATTCTTCGTTAGATCGTCAGATGATAAATGAATTCAGGTCGCTGTAAAAGAATACGAAAAGAGCGAAATCGTGTAGAGCACGTTGAAGAGCGATTTGTGAATAGAAACTTTTAAAGAAATTAATATAACGAAGTTACCTGAAAAATGGGAAAAGTAAGGTACAAATTGAAAGCAATGTATCTAATATTTGGTCATGTGAAGTATATTAAATTTGATTGCTCGACAATTATATTGACATATAATTATTAAAACCAGTCATAAACAGCGTATTACTCGCTAATAAACCTTCCCATCGACATAAATTGCTTTCCAAATGTAAATTACTCTCGTGATGCTTTAATCTTGACCCTAGCCCAAAAAGATACAGCCAAATACAAATTACAAACTCTAAATACACGTCCTCGAAATAATCTCTACACCTGTGCATATAATTTTAACAGTGATCAGTTTTAAAAGCACCCTTGGAAGTCCGCCATTTTTAAATCGACTGATTGGCAAAACTAGTCCGATGTATGTCGTGTTTGTACTCATTTTAATTGGGAAAACCCCACCAATCCATTGGTACTACTTTTATAAAGATCAGATGAAAATTAAAGAAATCGAAATTTTTGACATCGAAGTTTCCCTTTCAAGTGCTTAATCTTGTCGTTGCTTAAAGCTACGTCTATCTCACTTACTCTCGTTTTATCTGTTCTCTTTCATAATGAAACTATTCAAGAACCAACTCCTAGAACCAAAATACTACCCTGCTCGCGAGAATTGAACCGAACGAACTCGATCCTGTACAATTTAACCGAGCGCACTACTGTACTCGCGTACAGCAGTGTGCATAAACCAGGGAACAATGAATACACCATCACAAAGAATCACAGTATACATCTATAGCTATCACGTATTCAACACCCATTGTTCCCAAGCGGTAGCTCAAAGTCCAGCTTAAACCGGGCATCGATGACACGATTGGTAATCGCGAAATATAAATTCTCGGCTAAGGACCAATCCTGTCGCGTGTCCGTGGCATAAGCCGTTGTACAATTCGACTGAGCAGTTGATTTCGCGCAATTGAATTGCACCGCTTGTACGCCGGGCATGCATTAATTAACGCCGGTCGGCTCGATCGAATAAGTTAATTAGGGGTTGCCAGTTCTTTTCATCGCCGCCGAATCGGTCGAGTTTCTTTTTCCGCTCCCTTCTTCTTCATCCACTGTTCACATCTCTCCGTTCACTTTCTCTCTCTCCCTTTTTCTTTCCAACCCTTCTTCGCGTCTTTTTTCTTTTTTTTTTCACCTTCGTCTTACCAACAGCACTTTCGCGAGGGGGCTTTCAGTGCCTGTAACCAGAGCAACCCTCGGTATTTCGCATAATTAATGAAATCGATCGTCGTTAGAGGAACGCGAACTTCATTATATAACCTCCAGTACTTAATTACCAGCCGCTCCTATTCTCTGGCGTCGATCGCGCGTCGCTTTGCCCTCCCCTGTGTGCTTCTCACTCTGTTCGTCGAGGCTCGCGCGAGCTTACGTGCCCGGCTGCATTATCGTACGAAATCACCTATTTACTGGATCTTCGCAGAGGGAGAGAAACGACGCCCCTTCGTCGTTTTAATGGCGAGGCTGACACGTGTGTCCATTGAGAAACGCCGTCCTGATTTATTCATTGATTTTGAATTTTCTTCGGTCTCTTTTGGACGACGTTGCCTTAGGTGCGTTGGTCGAGTAGGTGGATTTGTTGTTGGTTTTATTATTGTCAGCTGATTGTGTTTGGGATAGAGGAATTTGTTAAGGACATTTTAATATAAAGTTTAAGACATGCTTAATTTTGCTTGTTTGGTTTGAAACTTCTGTTAATTTTAAGAATACGTTTAAAAACTACGATGGATAAGAATAGTTTGACACCGACGTCAAATTTTATACCGTGAATGTTTTGTTACATTAATTTATTATGCGTTGAAAATGAATTGTTCAACATAAATATTCAAGGTTTATTTAATTTTGGTCATTTCGTTTGAAACGTCAATTATTTGCAACAATATACAGTAAATTCTCCACAAGTGTCAGTCCACAAGGAAGCTAAACCTGACACTTGTAGAGTCAGGGACTACGTTTTCCAGCCTCGCGCCCGCCTTTGTAGTTTGCCGAACGTAGACAAGGACAGCGAATAAAAGATAAGCATGAAACGTCAGTCGAGGCAACCAAGCGATTTAAATATCAACTTTTTTAATTTTTCTGATGAAAATGACATAAAACACGACATAATTTGAACAACATTTAATTAATAACACGTTCACTGTCACGCCAGATTTACAGGTTGCTGTCAGGCGGCCAAAATTCTCGTACGTATTCCGAAAACCGATTTTTAATTGCGAAACACTACTGAGACGGTTTAATTTGGGGCAGCCAACTCATATTTGAGCTGGCAATACACAATACAATTAACTACTAAACCAAATCACCAGAAAAAAACCCATTTTTGTAACTCACTGTTCGCTGATTAAACAGCTGAGCTCTGCAACGTGGATTTGACTGCATTTTCTCCTTCCTTCCTTCCTTCCTCCCAGTTAGTTCCGATTGATTTTGCAAGACTCACAAACTCACAAAGTGTGAGTCACTGTGGAATGGACGACGCGAAAAGTACTTCGAAACGCGATTTATTTCAGTTTTATTCAGAAAGGGAGAAACCGCGAATTTATATTATTTTCAATATTATTATTGAACTAAACTTTCGTAGAACGCGAGTGAAAAATTGAAAGAATCAAAAGAAAAAACGCGAATTCGTATCTTTCTCGATTCTAGAATATAAGAAAATTTGAATAAAATACGCGACGAGAATTGAGGAGAAGCA